TTGTTCGGTTCAAATCGAGGTTAGGATGTCTAATAATCGAACTGCTGTGGTGGAGGGCGGTACAGTTATTGGCCAGAGAGATAATAAAAGATAGAGAGAATGAGAGAGCTTCGATTTTAGTACAAACGAAAAAAAAAAAAAACAAAGCAAGTAAATACTGGAATACGGCATACATAGGTCATTAGCATTGCACAAGGAAAGCAGCAAGACGCAAAAAGCCAAGAGATAAACTTTAAAAGCTTTGTCAGCAATGCGGCCTTGCAACTCACGTACACGTACACACACCCACACATGTATGTGTGTACATGCTAAATGCTAACACAATATAAATCGAGCTCTTTAATTAGTCAAATGCAATTTTTGTAACAACTTTGTTGACGGCTCTCTTACGATTTTACGGTCGTATTTAAAATGCATTTGCCGAATTTGGCAGCTACACTTAACAAAAACAAATTGCGCGCCAGCCAAAATGTTGCACTCTCAGCTAAAAACAATGCCGGCCGGCGAAGGCAGCGACAGTCCGCCATATTACAAGAGTGAATGAAGGAAATAGAGAGAAAGAGAGATGAGTGAGCGAGAGGTGTATAGAGAGGAAGAGAGAACCAGTTTTTTAGGCTGCCGCAACATTCCATTCGGCTGTTTTTCATTTGTTTTATGTCATAATCGAAAAAATCACATTTTTGATAAACATAAAAATATTCAAAGACAGAGAGGCACGAGGTATCTCTAGAATAAATCACATAAATTAGCAAATCATTTGATTTGTCACAAACTCAAAATAAAAATGTACAGTTTAACTAGCACGCGTACTCTCAGGGAGAACGCCGTCATTTACTCTCCCACTCTCACGCTCTCTTGAACACACTCTCCCTCTCACAGTCCGCTCTTCGTGTAAATACTTATGTACACATTCTGTATACAGACATGTGTTGTTTGTGTATATGCCCATTTACATTTATCTTTCACTTTTTTCGCCTTACTTGTATTTATTTTGGTACATTTATGTACTTATGTTTGTGAGCATGGATGGCGGGCGCTCATAAAAACAATCCATTTACAGGGTGGTGCAACTTCCTTAATTGAAATGAGCTACGGATGTAATATTTGAAGTTCACGAATCTGTTGCCTACTGTTGTGGAGAATTTATATAAATATATTATTTATATTAAATCATATTTATATAACTTGCATATATTACTTCCTTAAATAAATAATTTATAGATAAATTTACGATACGTTACTATCTATAGATATGATAAAAAAAAACCCTACACTACCGAGCGTTCGCGAACTTTCTTTTAATTTTTCTTAATGTCAGTTTCTTCTAGAATATCTAATAATCATCATACAAAATATTGCTTAACAGCCTCTATCATTGATGACCCTGTTTTATAGGTTGTTTGCTGTAATGGCTGGTTGGTAGCATAAGTATTTTACTTTAGACTTCGTCGTGGCTTTTGTTGTGCTTGAGAGAGCGCGCCGCATATTTTGCACACATTTTCCCAGTTATCTTGTTGTCTGCTTTGTAACAATCGCTGTGTTAAATTATGCCTTCGCACACATACAAACAATCACACGGTTATGTATTACAAGCTTTCTTTCATTTACATGGGAACGTGACTGCCTTATGTACTTGTCTTGTTGTTGGGTTGGTTAACTGAGTTTTGAACCCACGCATCAGCAGCACATGAACGCACGTCAAAGCAGCGACGCTGGCGTCGTCGGCGGTCAACCGTTTGCGCCTTTTTCTACGGCAGCTGCCGTATGTATGTGTGCGTGAGTCGTTCATTCATGCAGCCATTGTCACGACGCGCGCGTTCTCAGGTACAGTTCTGCCCTGACAGCGGCAGCGCTATGAACACGCTCTCTTTTGTAGCTTCTTACACGCACACATACATATGCTAACGCTAGCATGTAGCAGCTGCTGCGCCGTTAGCGTCGCTGCTTGCTGTTCGGGTTGGTTCGTTTCGGGTTCAGCTTGTTTGCTCGGTTTTCGGTCACAGTGGGTCGAACGCACGCTTGGCTTGGCTGGTTTTGTATCTCACGGCTGCGGATACATATGCCCTCTTGATTGTTGTTTTTCCATTATGTAGTAAATATGCCGCTTTATATACAAATATACATATATGTCTGTAGGTCTGTTTGTATGTAAGTGAGAGCTGCACTTGTAATGCGGCAATCGTTCGCTTGCGCTCTCTCACTCTCTCTCGCTCGCTCTCACCCTAGTCGGTGCGTGCTGCTGCAGCGAATTCCATTGACGCGCGCATTTTTCAAATGCCTTTTTTACGGCGAAAATAACGATTTTTCTTTGCTGCTGTTGCTGCTACCCAGTAAAGGGCGATTTTCTTGTTTTGTGGGCTTAAAATATACTTTTTACGACCATGTACACACACATACAGAAGAAACACGCATGTTGCGAGAACATGCGTATGATGGCTTTATATTTTGTTTCCATGAACAATTCGCTTTGCCCTTGATCAAGGAGAAGTGTGGGGTTTAAGTTGGGCGCCCAAAAGTTTTCAACAGAAGCAGCAGCAACAGCAGTGGCAACAGTAAAAGAACTCCTTTATTTTGTTATCGATAAGCTTTACTTATTTTACATCTGATTCCTTCGTTTGCAGGCTAAATCCGCCGAATCAAAGAAAGCCAAGAAAGATAAACCCGCTGATGGCGATTCCGATGAGGAGGAGGTATTAGATGATCTCATCGAAGGTGACAGTGAAATCGAAAGCGACGAATACGATGTACCCTACGATGGTGAAGAGGACGACATTGAATGCGACGGTAAGCTTTTCCACACTTCCAATCCAAATCTAAACTAAGTCAAATCTTAATTCTTCTTCCACACAGATGATGATGATGACAATGATGACGGTTCCGGTTCGGACGATCAAGCGTAATAATAATGTAGTCAAAACAAAAAAAAGAAAATAAATAACAAAAAAAATACAAACAAAACAAACAAAAAATTTAAATTAATAATAAATAAAAAGTTACAAGCAAAAAAACAAAAACCAGAGAAAAACGACACAAAAAAATCGCAAAAGTATATAATTCTTATGTTTAAGAAATAATTTTCTATTTCTTATTTTATTTTAATTGTATTTTATGTGTACTTTTTTATATATAAAAAAAATACAATTTTTCACGCATCGCGCGAAAAAGTAAACATCCCCCTCAGAAAAAAAAACAAATTCTACACAAAAACCAAGCTTTTCTTTCCTTTAAGTCATAAGTCTTAAGATAAAACAAAAAACCTTAAATAATGACAAGCAGAACAAGAAGAAGAAGCAGAGGAGAAGGCGGAAACGATGAACCCATGATTTACTTAAAAATAATAACAAAAGAAAACACAATAAAAGAACCAGAAAAAAAACAAACTTCATTATTAAAATTAGACGTTACATTTTATGAATGATCGAAAAAGCAAATGCAATTAAAATGGAAAAAATATACAAAAAAAGAACAAAAGAAAAACACTCGAAATTTTCTATCTGAAAAAAAAAACAATTTTTATTGGTTTCACAACTTTTTGCGCCCACTGTGCGCACTATTCAACGGGAAGTTTGATTTCTACATTCACTGGGCTCTCTCTATCTCTCTTATTTCAGCATTTACACACACACAGACACATACATAGAACTCTATAAGTTATATATATAAACAATTTAAGTATGTAATGTCAGTATTAAAAAAAATGCAAAAGCAAATCAATTAATACTAAAAAGTTAATTCATTTGTAAATTGTAAAAATACAAAAACAAAGAAATTAAATAATGAACAAACTTTTAATGTTATACACACAAACACACACATATATACACACATATATTTATAATTATTAAGTAGTTCGGGGTTTACTTGACATATTGACAGCAATCTCACTTTAATTATAATGACTGATATTTGGTGGCCGAGCAGAAGAAAAGAAACGAAAAACATTAAACAATCAATAAAAGTTGCAACATTTTTCAACAATTTAACCAACCAACCACAATATAAACAATATTAATGAGCATTTAAAGGCTAACCGTTTATGCATAAAACAGCTCAATTACATATATATATATAATATATATATTATATATATATATATACTCTATAAACAATTTGATACCAGAAACAATGTTAAATGCAAATTTTGTAAATAAAAAAGTAAAGAAAAACTTCTATCCAGTCGTAGTGAAAGAGAAGTAAATGAAACCCACAAAAATGAAGCGAAAATAAATGATTGTAATTACATAAAGAAAGAAAAGCAACAACAATTGGCAGTTATCAGATGCCAATAAAATCGTTTGTTTCATTCCATTGGGCGGGGCAGCAGCAGCAGCATAAATTCTACCTCACACCCGCCCTTTGAGTATCAAGCAGGGGTGTTTAACCCGAGTAGGGGTAGTTCTTCGAACATGTATGTGCAGATACACCTATCACACATGTGTGTGTGCATGTACATTTTGTGATACATAATTCATTGATTGGTGCCGTAATCGCATCGGTTTGTTTTACATTTTCAGATTCATGCTTCATGGGGGTTGGGGGTTGCATGCAGAGGGTAGTTAAAACGCGGTTTCACTCACTCTCCAATTGAGCTGAAAAGTAATTTGCAATGCATTCTGCCATTTACCAGTTTCAATTAAGCACCAAGCGTATCAAATCAATTAAAGTCCATATACATACAAATTAGCAATGAATCATTTGCATTTGCTTTTCATTATTTAAATCGTAACAGCATTAATCGAGCTATCGATTATTGAATACAATCATTTAGCCAAGACGCAGGCCTACAGCAAGCTTAGCTCCAGGTTGATGTTTATTCGTTTTGTTAGTCATTCACATTTACTTCTCATCATTTTAAATGTAACAGCACTATTCAAGTTATCGATAGTTAAATACTATCGTTCAGCCAAGACTCAAACCAATAGCAAGCTAAGCTCACAGTTCATTTCGGATTCTATACTGAATATTTCTTTATACTGAATATATTATTGAATACTGCACTTTATTATACAAGCCAATCAATTTGCGAATCGTTTTACTTTCAATATGTATAAGTGTTCGCCTGGAATGCGTCGCTCCATATATTTGAGAGCCTGGAACTTTTGCCGCCTTAATTGTTCGATTATTTCATCTGGTTTGTTCTCGTGCAGCAGCAGCAAATAGAGCACGCCGCTGGGTGAGAGTATGTCATCCAATTGCTCCAATAAAATATCAGTTACACGCCGTCCATCTGTGCCACCTGCCCAGGAATAGACCAAATTGCGCTCTGTGGCAGGATTATCTGTCAGCATTTGGCTTTGCAGCTCCTCATCAGTGGTTACCACATAGGGCGGATTGAAGAGCAGCAAATCTACGCATCGTCGACGCAGTGCATCGGTTAGATTGCAGCGCAGGCTATCCAAGCGAGCTCCATTTCGTATGGCTGTGCGCTTTGTAGCCTCACAGGCTTTTGGATTGATGTCCGTGGCCAGGCAGTGGGCGGTGTTTGCCAAGCGCTTGGCCAGTGCGGTGATGATGACGCCGCTGCCAGAACCAATTTCGAGGCACAGACGCGGCTGCAGCGTGTCCAGGAACTGCAAATCCGATTCCAACGCATCGAGCAACAAAAAAGAATCCTCCGCCGGCTCATAGACGTGCTCGTAGTCAGCCGAGGAGAGGTGCTCAGTATGCGGCGTCTCCATGTCTATGATATGTTGGTGGCCAGTGCCGAGTCAAGCAGTGCCTGACGCCTGCGTTGCTCCTTCTCGATGAGCCTGTGCAGGCCAGTCAAACGCTCCTGGCTGTTGCTCAGCACGTTGCTGATGATGGTCACCTTGTGCTTGACGTTCAACAGCTCCTTCACCTTGTCGGCGAACTCGGGTATTTGATTCTGGGCTTTCTCAATGTCCCGCAGCTGGGCAGCCAGTGCATCTAATTGTCCACGCAGCTCCGACTGCAGTTGTATGGTTGATGCGACGCGTTCGTCTAGCTTTTCGATGGTCGGCTTGAAGAGGTTTGTGATGCCCTCGGCCAGAATATCGCGTGTGGGATTTGTGCAGAAGTTTTCCGTATTTTCGTCCAAAGAGGTGACCGTGGAATCGGAATCCTTATCCATTGCAAATTTTGCTAACAACCTGCTACGTCGATATGTCGTATCGTATTTCGATGACAAATCTATCTTAGAGATGAGCATGTTATGCTTGCCTGTGACTAATCAAAGTGGCTAGCGAATAACTTCAGTGTATACAAAATTCAGAAACTAACTTAACATAAATTTTTTACATATTTTTCTTATAGTTAAATTTACAAATTTGTACGGTATTTAAAATAATTTAATATTGGCGAACGATAAGAATAAAAGTTTTTACGCATATCAAATTTGTTAATATATATTTGACATAACATATATATTTCTATATAAATATACATCTAACTAAACGTTACGCCATTATTTTAGAAGGTATCATTCCACTGCACTTCGTTACAACTCTGCTAATAAAAGTTATCAGCGGACAGCCGTCACTTATCGACGAGCCACCACAAATTCTTTCAACAGAAACAATTTTGGTAATATTAATTAAATGCTTTGATTACATCTACCTGCAAGCCGGCGCAATGGACACATATTCGGTGGATATTGTACATCAAGCTATAAACGCATTATTTCAAGGCACCAATCCCAAGGAGCAGGAAAAGGCCAACAAATGGCTACAGGAGTTTCAAAAGTCGGTAAGTTGTAGCCTACTTGGATTTGGGCATAAATTTTTACACAATTTGAGGCGGATTCCGCTAACTGCTTGCACTTGTTGCCCCAGATATATTCATGGACCATTGCAGACGAGTTGCTGCATCAGAAACGCGACTTGCACGCCAACTACTTTGCCGCTCAGACGATGCGTAATAAAATACAAAACTCCTTCAGCGAGCTGCCGCCACACACACATGAATCTCTGCGGGACTCGTTGATTACACACATTGGACAGATTGACGAGCAGACAGACAATGTGATTGTAACGCAGCTTAGCTTGGCCGTCGCCGATTTAGCGCTGCTAATGGCCACGTGGCAGGAACCGATTAGTGATTTGTTAAAGGCGCTCGCTCCACATCCTGCAGCCATTTGGCCATTACTGGAGGTGCTGAAGGTGTTGCCCGAGGAAATTGATTCGCGCTATTTGCGATTGGGCGCGAATCGTCGCGAACAGGTGCACAAGCAGCTGGACGCCAGTGCCGAATGTGTATTAGAATTTCTGTGCGTGTGTGCACAACGCAAGGATCTGGACCAGCATCGCATTTGGAATGCCACGCTTCGCACCTACAGCGCCTGGCTGGTGATTCAAGCGTTCCCCCTTTCCCATATCTGCGACAATGCGCTCTCCCAGCTCGCCTTCCGGCTGCTCAGCCAGCCAGCGGAAACGACTGGCAAACTGCATGACAATGCCACCGAATGCGTCTGTGCCCTGCTCAGCTGCATGGGCTCACGCAGCGGCAACCTGGAAGCCGACCCACAAGTGGCGCGTATATTCGAGGCAGTCTGTCATTTGGAGACGGCATATCATTTAAGTGTGGCCCACGAGGACACCGATAAGACGATCAACTATTGCCGCATCTTCACAACGCTTTGCGATGCTTTCTCATTAGACATTTTTGAATCGCAGTATGCGATGAAGGGCTTGGATCTGGTGCTGCTATGTGTAGGTCATTTCGACTACGAAGTGGCCGAGATCACATTCTACTTGTGGTACAAACTCAGCGAGGATCTGTTCCAGCGCTACGACGAGAAGTTGACAGCTCGCTTTAGACCACACATTGAACGGCTGATTAGCGCTCTATATCGACATGCACAAATGGAAAGCGATCATGACGGCCTCATCGAGGAGAACAATAATTTCTATGTAAGAAAAACATCGATAAAAGAAATCAATATAATTGCAATTAACACTTTTAAATTTTCATAGGACTTTCGTCGGAAGGTCTCCGATCTGTTAAAGGATGTGGCGTTCATTGTGGGATCCGGTGCGTGTTTTAAGCAAATGTTTATTATACTACAAGAGCCAAACACGACGTGGGAGCACACTGAAGCGGCACTCTTTGTTATGCAAAATGTGGCCAAGAACATATTGCCGTAGGTGCTTCTAATATAATGGTTTTGATGCTTAATTAATTGAATATTCTTTTAGCGAGGAGAATGATGTGATACCCAAGGTGGTTGAGGCGATACTCAATATGACGGATCAGACACACATTGCGGTGCGCTATACATCAATAATGCTCATAGGTGAACTGTGCGACTGGATTGAGAATCACTCTGACCTGCTCGAGGCTGTGCTCAACTTTTTGCTGTATGCGCTGCAGCAGAAGAACGGCCTGGCACCGGCGGCGGCTATTGCGCTCACTTCTATCTGTTCAGCGTGCAGGCAGAAAATGATTTGCCATATCAGCGGCCTGGTGGAGATAGCGCGCAGCTTGGACAGCTTTCAGATCAACAATGATGTTGCTATTGGTCTACTGAAGGGCATATCTCTGATATTGACAAAGCTACCGCAAGAGCAGCTGCAGCCAGCATTACGAGAGATTGTGGGATTTCAGCTGCAACCGCTCGCCCAATTACTAGAGACCAGCCATTGCCAACTGGCTAAGGGTGAGCGCAGCGATCCCGTTTATTGGATTGATCGCGCCTGTGCGATAATACGCCACACGAATCCCGATGTGCCCGACAATGTGGAGCATCCAACAGTTGCAATATTAAATGATGCCTGGCCACTCATCTCGCGCGTGCTAGAAAAGTATCAGAGCGAGTCGCGCATTATGGAGCGCACCTGCCGTCTAATACGCTATGCCATTCGCATGGTGCGTAAGCAGGCAGTGCTGCTGGTGGAGCCGCTGATCAAGCAGATCGTTGTGCTCTATGCGCTGCAGCATCACAGCTGTTTTCTATACGTCGGTTCTATACTGGTCGATGAGTTTGCCAAGTCGAATGAATGCATTACAGGTCTGCTGGAAATGCTGCAGGCCTTCATCGAACCCACGTTTGGGCTGTTGCAGTTGGAGAACGGATTGCGGAACAATCCTGATACTGTTGACGATTTCTTTCGGCTGGCCTCACGCTACCTAGACTGCTGTCCGTTGCAGCTGCTCCAAAGCAGCCTCATCACACCCATATTCCAGTGCGCGCTGATAGCCTGCTCGCTGGACCATCGGGAGGCCAACTCGTCGGTGATGAAATTCTTTATCAATCTGCTCACTTGGGGACGCAGCAGCAACCATCGCCACAGCGAGTGTAGACCGCTGGTCATTGAGCTGGCCACGCAGCATGGCGGCGCTCTAGTCATGAATCTGATACAGGCATCCGTGTTTCAGCTGCACTCCTATATGCTCGCCGACGTCGCCGAGGTGCTCAACGAACTGAAGCACGTTGTTACGCAGTCACAAATGGAGCCCTTCCTTGCCCATGCGCTGGAAGCGTTGCCCAAAAAGAATAGCGGTGGCTATGTAACAGCCACACAACAGCAATTGGATGAGTTTAGTAATACAGTGCTGAGGTGAGTATCCTGGCGCTTGGCAGCCAATTTTGCTCCATTGTTTGGTAAACTATATATTTGTGCTTCAACTTTCAGAGCGGACACCACAAAAGCCGTTGCACAGGCACTGAAAACGTTTACGCGACTGTTCCGTTGAAGCAGTTGCAAGCTGCATTGCTGCACCACCATACCACAATACGTTGGCGTTTGGAAGTTGTCCACGATGATATGTACATTTGAAATTATGTATACGCAATGTTGAGCAGCCGCTGAGAACAATGAAGACATGCCAACTTGTTGGATGGATGCATGCGTTCGTATTTAAACATGTAACTATAGTTGGTTAGCGTTACAACGCTGCGTGCGTAGATCAAGCGATCCTCACGAAACGTACCATAAGTTGATTTATTTAAGTGCACCTTAGATTTTAATTTAAAAATTGACTTACAATATATTCTTAAAAATGTTTAATGACCACCAAGTGCAGCTCATTTAGTTTTTTTTTGTAAAATACTTGAAATGTAAATCCAAACAGGGCTTAAGCTGATATTGAAAGCTATCAATCGGACATTGAACAAAGCCAGATTATTTTTTAAAACTGTTTTTGCTAAGATAAGCTTATATTACTGTTTTCTAGTTGGCGAGTTAAATGAAATTAGGATAGAACCACTGAGAATTCTTTCGTTTAATTATGATCTGATCTTTGAAGATTTTCATAACTCAAGTCTTTGGGTAAAGATTTTCAGCATATTCGATTTGATTACGCCAGAAAAGTGAAATGTTTTGATTTCATTTTCAGCTATATCTAGCGTTTTAGGTATTTTAAATATCCGCACAGCTAAGTTAAGAATTGACGTAATTCTCATTTCCTATTCGAAATGACGCAGATATATACAAATACATCCAACAATACAAGAAATGCATATCAAAATGAGTCAGACTATAATTCCTATAATATATTTGATAATTTCGTTCTTAATACAATTCAGTAATTCGATAATAGATTGATTGATATTACAGGAATGTGAATTTTAGATAATTTCATTCGTGTTCAGTGGGTTTACTTTTAGCATTCGATACAGTTACAATCACGTTAAAGGGGAAGCTACGCAACAGAACTTAGATATTAGACATAGAAGTATAACGTACATGCAACACAAAACAAAATAGTGACTATCAAAAATTGTGGAAGGGACGTGATACAATGTAAATAGAAATATGACATACATTAATACTAATTGCACGATAATTGTTACTAATTGCACTTTTAGCTTAGCACTACGGCTCGAGGGTGTGTGTCTATGAGTATTATCTACATTGTGCGTTTAGATGGTTTCTGTGCGGGGATCCAGCTTGTGAATAGCCTGCATAAGACTGGTGATATTAGCTGTATTAATGCCCTGCTTGGACATTTCCGTCAAGCGATCCGTTATGGGTTTCTGATCCTGACCCCGTTGCCACCTGCGAGCAAGCAACAAATAAAAATATGAACTTTGAGCTGTTTATAAAGCAAAATATTAAAGTGCATACCACAAGTGTGCACATGTGTGCAGCAGGGGTATATAGAGCGGCAGTAAATCAATGTCACAGAGCGTGTCGAAGCGACTGAGTGCCAGTAGAGCCCAACGCTCTGCTGAGTGATGGGGCACCGGTGATGCGGTGCAGGCAGCAACCAAGCGACAGAGTATTAGCAGCACGGGCCGCGACCGATTCATGAAGATCTTGTTCAACAGACGAAAACAGTTCTCGAGTATGGGTATGGCCATCTCGTTGCGTCGCTCATCCAGATACTGACACGCCCGGGTCAGTTCGTCGTGCTGCAAAAAACGTAGAAATGCATCCGAATCTCGCAGCTTAGTTTTACTAGCTATGTGCGTCAGAAATGTTTCAAATGCAGCACTGCGCTCGGCAATCAGTTCCGCTGAGAAGTTGCCCATGAGCACTTTGCTGGGGAAGTTCATGTTGGCCAGCTCGTTGGGCAGCTCTCGCTTAAGGCACTGGTAAAGATCACGAAAATCTGTGTAGCGGCGGTCAATCTTAGCAGGCTGCTCATCCATGGTGCTGGAGTCCTGGCGCACAGTTAGCTCGTAAACGACGAAACGCTTGACTTTCACATCGTCAATCTCGCGTGGCATTATGTGGGCCAGCAGAATTTCAAAACGTAGTTCCGGGTTGCCATCAGCAGTGGGACGAAACTTTTTAGCTGGATTATAGCTTTCCCAGAACGCTTTAGCGTATAAGAAATATTATAACTCGAGCTGCACTTGGGTTTTGAGTATACTCACCTTTCTGGCCCGTCGGGTCAACAGTCTGCGGGGGTATGTCCAAAGCGGCCGCCTCAATGGCTGGACTATCGGGCTCGTCGTCCGGATGTGGACCATCCGTAGACGGCTGGTGCGGCAGTAGACGTTTAGCCATCACAGCGTGCACTAGAAAGTTGAAAGTAGTGAATTGCAATTACGTATAACAGTCGCATTGACTGTTTGTGCAATTGTTTACTCACTTGTAAATGGGACCACAAGAAAATATTAATTGGCAGCTGTATAATACGAATTTGCCGTTAATATCAATTTATTTATTTTATTTATCGTGTCTGTGACGATTGTATTACGCTTGCAAATGTTCAAGTGACTAATCCCCGTGGACCCAAACCAAAACATTGACGAGCCCAGTAGACGAATAAGTGGGGCGCCTTTGTCTTAATAACGACAGCTTACTATATCGACTACGAAATGCTCTTTTAAGGGAAAATGTTTTAAGTGCATGCGTGCGAATTTCCGCCTTTTATATATGCAAAATGTTCAGTTTATTGTGAGACGTAAAAAATCTATATTCTACAAGTCTTGTAACTGCTTAATATTTGAGCATCTTAAAGCAGGCGTAATTAAGAAAGCTAACTGCAGTTTGGAAAGTGTATGTAAACATTATGCTATCGTAACCGATTTGTTTACACGACTCACGCACGCAAAACTCATTCGATATTATCATCGCTTGTATATAAACAATTACTTGAATATCGAATGCTCTTTACAGCCATTTGCTAATTATATTATGTATTCTTGGGCAAAATTGTTAATAAATCTATGCTGATTATACAAATTTGTTTATATAAAATACCAAAATAATCTTAGTTCTAGAATCCAGTTGCTATATTTGGGAAGAGTATTGTTATCGTTATCGATAAGTTCATTAGACGACAATAGGTACATGGTAATTGTCATCGGTTTGTCACCGTAAACAAAAAAAAAAAACAAACTGTCTGAGTGGGCGGTTTTACTTTCTTGTGACAATAAATATGACGCTACCCGAATTTTTTGGTTGTACACTGATTGCGTTTGGAACACCGTTTTCACTATTCGTGTTCACCATTGCCAATGATTCTATGCGCATTATAATACTCATAGCGGCCGCCTTCTTTTGGCTGCTTTCGCTGCTGCTATCGTCGCTGCTGTGGTTTGCGATTGTTCCACTGCGCGACGTATTGGCTTTTGGTGTCGTGTTTTCGGTGCTGTTCCAGGAATGCTTTCGCTACATCATATATCGCATCCTGCGTAGCACAGAGCACGCCTTGCACGCCGTTGCGGAAGATACGCGTATCACGGAAAACAAACATATTTTGGCCTACGTTTCAGGGCTAGGATTTGGCATCATATCGGGTTTGTTTGCGTTAGTTAATGTGCTGGCGGATATGGTGAGTGTCTCTCTAGCTATAACAATCAAATAAACTAATCTCTATTCAATGTATTTGTAGACTGGACCTGGCACAATGGGCCTCCGGGGTGGCTCTGAAATGTTCTTCGTAACGTCGGCAGTCCAAGTACTTTCAATTATACTGCTGCATACATTCTGGAGCGTCATCTTCTTCAATGCTTTCGATACAAATAATTATCTACATATTTTCTATGTCGTTGGTACACACCTCTTCGTCTCCCTATTGACGCTTCTCAATGCGGATGAGCTGTACTGGGCGAGTCTCTTGCCAAACTATATAGTAACGATTCTCACTGCTGTTTTAGCCTTTAAAGTTGCGGGAGGCACCAGCAAAAGCTTCAAAAGATTTGTGATGTGCCGATAATTCTGGAGTAGCTAGTGTATTATGAATCTAGTGATTTATAGCCTAAAAAGACATTATTCTAACTTTAATTAATTTAAGTTCTGTGACATCAAACTGACTATTTTGTCAACATTTATTTGGAGCCCTAAAAGAAGATTGGAACCTTGTGGCTTTCTTTTCGATTGACATATTTTTATGGGTGTAACTTAAATAAAACAACTTAATACGTAAATCGCCGAATCTTACTGGCTATAGTCCATTTTGCGCACATTGATGCCGTAGTCAGCTAATGCAGGCTGCAAATCTTCCATAGTCAAGGTAAACTTGCGATCCTTAGCCTATAATGATATATGTAAATGTAATTATATATAAACATAGATATTTCTATATGCACTACAACAACGCACCTTTGAGCCACCGGGTGTGCTCGAGTTTTGCATGTGTGTGCGCGCCTTGGAATGCTGCAATGCATCGTCAATGATGTCCGACATGAATTTCTGAGTTGCTATGGAGATAAGTCGAACAATGCGCTTGTCATCCGCATGAAAGCCGCCCATATTCAGATAATGAGAAGTCACTGAAATTTTAAGATCATTTATTAAATTGGCTCTCTCGTATATGTATTTAGCAATAGCTACCGGCATCTGGGAGCAGAGGAGTGTAGTCCTCTAGTTGCAACATGAAATCGCTGAGATGTGATGCTGGTGCAGAACGATCGCCGCCTGAAATAGCATTGAAGCTATTGCCACCGCTTACTCCAGAGGCCGTGCCGCTACCACTGTTGGCTTGACCAGATGAGCCCCCGCCAGCACTCGGATGATAGATAATGCCAAAATTTGAGCCGACCATTGTAAACCTTTTAGCAAACAATATTTACTGTAGTGTGACCGCTTACGTTAAACACCAAAATACCTAAACATACAAGCTATATGTATCGATAACACTTATCGTGAACATTGAGTTCGCTTTTAAGTTTTTATTTTATTTTTATTATTAAACATTACATTATTTTACATACATCAGCTGCGGTACAAGGAATACAATCTTTTCCCTACACTTATGTTTACCAGGTGTTAAGCCTATTTGTCCTTTTTATTGACAGTTTTCTTTGATGATGTTTTAAACAAACATTTAATAATAAGTAAGAGAAACACAACTATGAATGTGCCAATAAATGCCAATGGAAGCGTACCCTGACTATTGATATAGTCCATAACTTGTCCAAAAGATAATTCATCCATAAAACTGGATGGTTTGGGAACCATTTCTGGATGACTATTTTTTATATATCCGCCTTCAGCAAACTCGATGAAGGCCTTTGGGGTATACTCCTTTGAAGAGTATCGATAGATTTTGCCTTGGCGCAAGAAAATGAATCCGGGAGCTTCCGCAACCTTTAGCCGATTCGCAGTCGAAACGCCAGCTCCCAAAGAGTTCATTCGTGCTACGTTTATCTTGCGTTTTAGTGAACCACCAACGGACTCCCAAACGGCATATAAACGCTGGCAGAGCACACATTCCGCAGAATAGAAGAAAACAAACCAGTCCCCGGTTGTGGCTCCAGTTGAGGCTTGTGTTAAATGTTCAAAATTGTCATCAGAAAGCTCCTTTACCGCTGGCTCGCGGTTATCGCTAAAAAATTGTATAATTTCTTCATCGTTTATTGCTCCATGGTAGAGAATTGGTATTCCTCGTCGGAAATAGAGCAGTGCCGGTTCCCTGCTCGGATCGTAGATATGTATTAAATTGCTATCGTGCGCCTGCACAACTGACGCTCCCAACGATTGTTTGACTTCATCCTGAATTTTGTCAACAACGTTTTCATATTTTTCGCATTCCGCGCAGTTGCCTCGCGTAAACAAAGCAACCACATCGCCTTCGCCGGTTAAAATGTGTATCAAATCCATATCATCAACGCGTTCAATGCCAGCGCCGTAAACAGCAATAATTCCCAGATATATGATACCAATAATCTTATGAAAATACATTATTAACAAATTATACACGTCTGTGAAAATCTACTTGTTGGATGCCGACGTTGCGCGTGCACAGTCTTAATAATATGCTATTTGCTAGCGATGTACCTATCGTATTGATAGTCGATTACGATTCCGATATCATAATAATAGCCGAGAGAATTTAACACAAGTAATAAATAAAATTCAAATATTGGATGATATTTTGAAGAAGTTGGCTTTTATTATTTATAAAATTTTGTTTGTAAAAAATAGTCTATTATAAAATATACTGGGGTATATTCTTGAAGAGATGTTATACAATTTGTAAGTAATAAAAATATAAATAAATATAGTTTTTGGATTATTTGTTTAATATTGCTAATGTAATAAAATATCTGGTTAGAAGTATTTGTTCATAAATTGTGATGCAAAATGTATAAATCACAGGAACGTATAACAGATATGCAACAATCTGATTGTATCAACGTTAAATAAAATCTAATCTAATCGAATATATTTGATGATAAATAGAGATATTTCCGAGTAAACGTATATCTTAGATAGGGGGGCTACCAAAGCGCAAAACACGCGTTAGGGTGGACATGGTAAAGCTTATTTGCTTTGCCTGATATTCGTAGCTCTCACAATTCGCCACGCGCTGAGCAACAAAGGTGAGCAGGTTGAGCATGTCCAGCGTTTTGCCATTGGCTTCCAGCTCCTCGCAGAGATTGTATATAAACCAGCTGCCCGTTGAGGTATTGCTCCACGATCTGTAGTTGGGAATGGTGCAGAAGGCTATTAGAAAATCCGCATAATTGGGAATCTTATAACTGCTATTGGAAACACTGTCCGTTTCCGTGTGCCCTTTGGAATGTAGGACATAGCCCGGATCTCTGAGTTTGCCTTGACAGGCTTGGACAATAAACAGCTTCGGTTTGCCCGCCAGCGATGGGCATTTTTCAGCTTTAAAGGATTCCCAGATGCTTTTCAGCTGATATTCTCCATCCTTGGCATAGACAGTATCGCTATCGCCATGAGTCAAAACAGCAATCAAAATGCAATCGTGATTTGTATGATCCGCGGCAACAGCGTTTTCTATGGTTTTATTTAGCTCCTTGTAACATGAGTCTTTGTAGACTTTTACATTGAAACCCAACTTCTTGAGCACGCACTTTAGATTTTTGCTGTCGATATTTGTTTCGGGTCGTGATGGCAAGTTTTTGTAATTGAAGTGCTCATGGCTGAAGATCAGTGCCGGCCCACGGTGCGTATGAGACATCTTGTATTCGACATCATGCCGATGAATAACCATTTGGGCAATGTTATTAGTTTCGTAAGTTCGAGCGGCATTCACAGATATGCAGGCTCCATCAATGTCTTCCGGAGACACATTTGAAATGTCGTTAGAAGTTTCCTGTTCGCCCTTAAGTGACTCATATGATTTGCCATTATCGCACATTTTAAATTTTAAGATTCTGTTTTATTTTATTATTCTTTCTGCAGAAAACTATTGCACTGAGTATATGTAATATTGGCCGGAATACTAAGCGTAGGGATATGCACTTATCGTCGGACTGCGCAACAAGTTATGCATTTGTAATGCATATTACTGATAAGAATGTGTTGCCAGTGTTGCCATCTGCTTTTGTGGTTAGCTTTCATTTTTGAAAGTTATCGATAGTTACAGTACGATACTCAGCGCAGCAATTTTATATAATATTAATTATATTTATATTAACATAGGTATTTTAAAAATATATAGTTTTGTATTGATTATGTACATACTATTAAATATTATTTGTATGTGTGTTAATTCATTGCATTTTATAAATAATTCAATATTTTGTCTTTCTTGTGTTAATGATGTTGATTTACCATTTAAATGTCCCAAAGGATATTTAATATGCCTGAAAATTAGCTTATTTTTGTGTTAACCGTTATTATATGGTATTATAGCATGGTTTAAGTCTGAGCTAATATATTTATAATGTAAACCATGCTTTAACAATTATAACACTTTAAATGTTATAAAATGCCAAGGTTCGCCAGTAAACTTGGTTTTTATTATAGCAAATGTGGTGAGTAGCGTAATTTTTAGCTATAAAAACTTGTGGACGTTATACGTTATATGTTATACGTTCTACGTTATGTTATACATTTAAAACCACGAGGCCTACCCCAATAGCTGAACTAAAAGCTGCAGAAGCTTTCAAGAAGACATCCCCAGCTTTCGGTTAAGCTACAGCAACATTCGTTATGTTTTACCCCTTCATTAGCAACATGTTGATACAAATTCAAAAAGTGGGCGCAATTTTGATAATCTTTTTGTAATTGCTGAAATTAATATTTCTTTTTATTTACTTGTTGTAAAAATTACATATTAAAAATAATTTGAAATAAAATCAAGTGCAACAAAAATTTTTAATATATATAGTGAAGCAATTTTTTTTACAATAATTGTTTTTTATATTTGTTTATAGAGGTTTCGTGCATGTTGCTGGCAACATTGAGCATCGGCCAAATGTTGCCTTGGACATGCGCATTGTTGCCAGCGCAACGTTCGTGTAGCGCTCAATTCGCGAGCGAAGAAATTGGAAAAAAAAAATTATATTCAGTGATAAAGTGAAATTCGTGCGCGTTGGTTGGCTTACACTTCGTGTAAGCTTCAAGCTCAGACTCCGGCTCTCGGCCCACTGTCGCTCACTCACTCTCGCTCTCCGTATATCTCTGTCTTGCTCGCACACTCTCTTCGTTGACTCTCGTATCGGATCGGTGTGTTCACAATTAGACAACAACAACAGCAACAACTTCACAACTAATGCCTAACAATTGAAGTGCCTGGTGCTTGGGCACAAAAATCGCTGATAACAAAAGTGTTATAAGTGCAACAATTTTTGCCACTTAGCAATAGTAGCTCAATAAATTCCGCTAAAATAACAATTAATATTTATAATATTGAACAAGGATTCAGCGGCGTTCGCGATGCGTCTAATTGGATTTGTTCTAAATTTGGCTGCTTTAACAGGTGAGTGAGTTCTTTGGTTAGCTGTTGCCAAATACAGTGACCATTCGACGAGGTTGGCCAGAGTTTTGCGGAATATATATATTTATCTAAATATATCTCTGGGCTTGCTATATATGAGAAGATAACAAAAATTGTCTTTAAATTGTGCTTAATGTGTTAGGTTAACAGGTGAGTGAGTCCTTTACGCTAGCTATTCGATATGTTTAGCTCGAGTTTTATAATATATAAATATTGTTACGGCCATGGCTTGTTTATATACTTTAAAATTTAATATATTTTAATTTTCTCCATAATTTGTAAACTCATATTTATGTGCCTAAGAAGTGCTCTTGACTTTAAAATGATCTCTTTGACTGCTTTGAATTTGAAATCCCAGCTAACTGGGTCTGTAAGTCTGGGTCTTGGTGTTTGGGCTCTTACGGAGAACATATTTCATTTCGTCTCAACTATTTATTTGTAGTTTGCATATTTTTCTAGCATTTTGTGGTTGTCTTTATTGGGTCTTTCGTGTTTAGCCTGCGCCACTGTTGCGTTGTTTGTTCATCAATATATATTTTGCTTGGGGCATTTGGTGTTTCTGGCTCAAGTGTTTCGTGGCTAATGCAAAATCGATTTCACATTGTTGCATATTCCGTTTGCAGGTGAAATCAATGAACGGTGACGCAACCCAGTCGAGTTGAGGTTTAAGTGCACGAATTCAGCTGCAGTATATGGCATTTAAGGCTGGCAGGGATTAAGGCGTTTCGTTTCGGGCCTGGCTCAACTTGTCATCGCAGGCAGATTCAAAGAGCAGGGCGACACTTCAATCTGCATGCTCCAGATTAATGTGGCGCTGCATTTCAACTCTTTGCTTTACTTCTTGACACTTCGCTCACGCCAAGCATTGCTGCCCGGCAAATATTTAATTTAAACGGCTCAGCTCACTCGCTGGGCATTAACACTTTGTCAGGCGCTTTGTAAACTGAGAACCATGTTAAACTGTTTAACTGTACTTTGGCAATTGATTGATGTGGGGTTTCCGTTCGAAAGTATTATAGAAATTTAAATAGCTATTTCAAAATAAGAAACATTTAGTGCGAGAATCAATTGATCTAAATAAGTTCTGAAGAACATTCTTAATATATATTTTTAATTTGTTTAATATTTTTCAAAATAATTGTAATAAATGTAGTTTTATTTAAAGAATTGTAAAAATAGTTAAATTTTATGGAACAGATTTGAAATTAAATTTATTTATTTGTTGATTCATATTGAATTTTATTTATTTATTTATTTATTTTTAATTTGTTCTTGTGCATTTAAATGTTTGAAAGTTCCAGCATTTGGTAATTAAATTTTAGTTAAGTGGTAGCAATTAAACTTTAAAATGCGCTCATGCTTAAGTAATTCCATTTAAGTACTCACAAAATTTTGATTAACTCTGAATGTTTGAGTTGAATTTATTTATATGAACTAATTCGCGTAACTGAACTATCAGCAGTTCCACATAGCTAATTTTAAATTATTTTTTATTCTTTTTTATTAAGTGAATTACCAACTAATCTTGAGCTAGTTACAGGTACTGTATTAAAGAATTATTTGAAAATTAAATTTTATTTATTTTTAAGAATTTATTAACTATTTTATTTATTTTTTTGTAAGCTAATTTGCCAATTGAACCGTATCAAAAATTTAATAACACAAAATTCAATTTAAGAGATATTTGAAAAGAGACAGATGACTATAGTTTCTCATAATTAGTAACCCATACTATATAGTATATAGATATATACATATGCAGGGCATATGGAAAGCGCCTTAGGAGCTATCCACAAATTATTCCGTTTCGCTTCTTGTAGTCTTGTGTTTGTTGTGTCGTTTGTGGTATCCTTTATATATAAAGTTTTTTTTGCAATTCTGCTGCGCGAGGCTTCGCTTGTTTTGCAACTGCCCCACTTGCGGTTTTGTTTAATTACGCATATTACGCCCAAGTCCCGCTGCCCCGCCTTTCAGCCCCCTTCTCGCTGCCCCAGTTGCGGTCTCTTGCTGACTGCGAGCTGTCTTTGGTTGCAGTCGCTGCTTGGGAGCCTTGTCAACAGCAGCTTCAGCTGGAGCTGCGTGCATTTCCGGTAAGCATTTGCTGCCCCGCTTGAAAGTCCTTTGCCTGCCGTCGCCTGCGGTTGTGCTCGTTGGCCAGGATTGTCGAGTGACCAAGCCAATGACTAAGCTCCTAAACCAAACGCCTTGTTAATTGCTTGGCTTTTGTGGCCGCACTTAGCGTTGGTTTTGTCCATTATCTCGCCTAGCAGCTGGCGAGTGAAGCCTCTCCATTCCACTCCATTCCGTTCCATTCCATTCCAGCTTCCATTTGCCGTCCGGCTCGTATTTAACATATTTGCTCTGTTGCAAATCCCAGAAATTAGATTCAGCCGTAGGTACCAATAAATTATGAAAGCGACGGCTGCTGCCAGTGTTGTCTAATGAGCCAAAGCGTCGACAGCACAGCACAGCACAGTCCGTTGCACAGTAGCTGGTCGCATTACTGCTGCACAGCACTGTGCCCTGGGTGTGTATGTGTGTGTTTGCCTTTAATTGAGGGAAAGGTCAGCGTCGCATCGATTTAACTAACGCGAGGGCTCTAACATAATAAAACAACAAGCGAGAACTAAGGGTGCCCTATACGGGTCTGCTTGAACGTAGAGATACCCTGTAATTTAAAGATTTTCTGTTACTTCCGGACGTACATAGTTTCATTCTGAGTTATTAAAAATATTTAATTATTTGTAGATACAACGAAAGGGAACGTATACTTTGTCTACAAGTTCAAAATTTCCACTCTCTGAGTCTAAGATGTTCAGGCAGACCTGCCTAGATCAATTATGATCAGTTATACGTCTACTTTTTGTAGTCGGAAATGCCTATTTCATGCTATTACTCACATAGATCCCATAAGCATTTCCCGTGCGGATAGCAAAGATAGCTGCTACATAGTTATGATTGGCAAATACCCTACAGATGAGGCTAAAGAGAAAAGAGAAAATTGTTTGTCCTTATAACAATATGTTAACTAGACTTTCATCGTGTATATATATATTTATATAAATAAAGCTTCGCAAAAAAAATACTTTCTCTCTTTTTGTAATACATATATATATAGCCATATATCGGACACTTTGTATGGATCGGCCACAAGTCAAAATTCCAAGCCAAAGTCTAATTCAAGCACTTGAAATAACATTCAATTCTATAACATTCATTGAACTATAAACAAATTTGTGCATAGGCTTTGTTAGCATTGTTACCAATAGTTCAATCAGAAACTCCCAACAGAGCTATAAAGAGCAGAGTAAGCATATTGCAGCTTTAGTAGTAGTCTCAACGCTGACGATTGATATTGAAATTTTTAAGTCAAATAAAGACGCAATCAAATAAATTTAAGTTTTTTTTGTTTCAAGTGTCGTTAAGAAACATAAATAAATAAATAAAATAAATGTATATATATACAAATATTTATGAGCAGAAAAATGACTAGAATTTCATTAAAATAAAATTATAACTTCAACTGCTATGAAATTCGAATCTTGTTTTCTTTTTACCCAGCTAACTGGGTCACAAGACTGAAAGTCCGCGCGCTAGGGTCTTTGAAATACATATTTTTTTTAATTTAATGCACAACAAGGTTTGTATAACATATTTTTCTACATTTTGTTGTCTTTATATAAAAGTGAATACCCCGCACACAACAAGGCATTACTTTTCTATGTTTTAATTTTGGTAGTCAAAGTAAGTCTTTGCCTATGAATTGAAAATGTCAAGTGTCTCAGTTACTGTGCATACCCGATTACTTAGTGAATCTAGGGAATCGCAATTGTGTGCTGGCCAAGCGTAGGTGTGGATTCATTCATGCCTACGCAACGGGTCGGTTTGCCGGCTTGCCGGTTTGCTCTCCCGCTGTCCGCTTGTCCATTTAATTTAGTTGTACTCGCACTCGCACTAGGCACCACTTAACCCCACATGGCAGCCCCTGCTGCTGTTGCTACTGCTGCTGCTGCTGGTGTGGCTGTTGCATTGCATGATAAATTGCCACTTGACTTTGCATATTTGTGCTGTGGACGGGTCGTTGATACAGCAGCAGCTGCCAGCCGATCTCAATCCTAAGTCCCTTGTTTATTGTTGTCCAACTTTTGAACTTTGACTTTTCTGTTGACACGCATACAAAGTGCGCCTCACCTTGAAATCTCTTTTAAGTTCTGCGACGCCAGGCTACCGAAAATAAGTCGCCAACAAGTTTCAAGCCTCGTGCCTCGAGTGTCGCAGTCTGTGTGAGTGTGTGTGTGTGTTTGTGTGCCTGTCACATAACTGACACATTCAAAAGTGTCTTGTCATTCGGCCGCCCATGCCCCCTCGTTCTTCGCTCCTCTTGCCGGCGCCTCTGCATGTCAACACGGCGCTGTTACTCTTTATGTTTTTTTTTCGTTGTTGTCCTTTCATTTATGTTTGCATGCATTGGTCTCTCCACCTCCCTCTAGCCCTCTGTCTCTGTCAGTTTGTTGTTGCTGTCGCATTTTATTATTATTCAGTTCTTATTTTATTTTTAAATCCGACAACCACTCGCTGTTGAGTGGCTGTCAGGTGTCAAGCCGCGTATTTATGTATGTGTGTGTGTGTATTTGTGTGTAAATGACACTATATGCTGTAGCTATAGCTGTAGCTGTAGCTGGAGGCTGGCGAGGTCGAGATGCTTGGCTTAGTTACACTCAAATGCAGATGAAACAGAAAACATGGCGGTAATATTTTTTCATACCGATATAAACTAGTTCACTTTGCGTGTCACTTTAATTCTCAGCTTAAATTTTATTTGGCTTTTCAAAAATCAGAAAAACATAATTTTTAAGCCATTTCTTTTAGTCTTTTATATTATATATATGTGTCTTTTCTCTATGCATTTTAATCTAATAATTAATATTAGCAATATTATAATTAAACCAGTTACTCTGAAGCTACTGAAAATTTAAATTTAA